AGAGGCCACGACAGATTATGCTGTACGTTCGACGCGATTTAATAGAAACGAAAGATCTCTTCGGACAGATGTTTACGTTTAACCCTTAACGGTCGGACTTATTTATCCTCGCCGTAAGTGCCGAGAAGAGAGCGGACGGACATCGTCGGCGATCTCGACGTGCTTTTTACATCGGTCATCATTAACGGCGCCATTAATAATGTCGCGGCGAATCTGAATTTTGTCAATCGTCGCCGGCCGTTGTTTCACCGCGAGCACATTCGATGGGCCGGATTATGCCCGCATCCTGCACGAGTCGATGACTTTTCCGGCCCGAAACGTTTCGCAATCTGTCTGTCCGAGCGGCGGATTGCGGTTTGCTCGTGAAATCCGCTTTCGCTGTCTCGGAAAATAGCTCTTCGAAATGGAAAGATGCATCCGACCGGAACCACCTTGGTCGTAACGCACAGAATCGATCGGTGCGATAATATCGATGGAGTCAGTTTTGGATTACGGGAAAATGCGCCGCGACCTGAACGTCGGGCATCGTTTTTCCGAGTTAACTTTTCGACTCGGAGAATCGATCGTCCGATCTTCCCACGGATACATAAAGAGCGAAATTGATTAAATCCAAGTTAATTTTATGAAAACGACGAAATCTCGCCTCGTCGAGCTGGCGCCGCGAAATTCCAATCCCGCGAAAAGGGGAAAGGAATTGCCAACTCTCATTTAGCAGCGAAACGTTATTGTGCGAGCTGGTGAATTTTTTCCGGACGATCCGCCGGCCGATTCGCCGTCCATTTCCCGCGATTCCTCGATTGATTTCCTCCTGACGATTCGACTACTCCTCGCTCATTTCCCGCGAGTCATGGCTTTTTCCCCGAGCAGCGTTGTCACAAATCTTGAATTATTGGCGAGCGTCAAAACCGATATAATTTCGCCTCACTCACGTCCGAGAAACCTCGTTTAATCATTTTTATTCAATCGCCAAATATTTCGTTGCGGCATCTTTATTTTTCTTTGGCTAATCACAGATTTGCCGCGTTCCTCGACGTTCTCGATACTCTCACCATCGTTTTTAACTGTTGTAAAGTGTAAACGCATTGCTTCTCTTTCGACAACCCCTGCAGAGAGAGAGAGGGAGACTCGACTCTTTATCTTGGGTGACTTTTCTCCCTTGTACCACCCTTAACCCTTGACGTCGAGACGCCTTTTTTTCGTTACGTTCCCTTGCACGACGTGCGTCATCGACGCCATCCGTTGTGAGGTCTCGTTTATTTTTGGTACAACATTGTCGCCGTACTTCGCCGGCATGATTGTCGCAGGGGAGTAGCAGCTTATCCATTTAAGTTTGTATTCTGATGCGATTTCGAACGAACGTGATAAGTAATAACGACGAGAATAATACAACGTAGATATCGCGAAATAGAAATTAAGCAGGATCCGAGGGCTTTAAAACAACGCCGAAAATTAATTTTGCCCTTCACTCGCAGCGACAGTGTCACGGACTGCAGAAGCAGGGAAGCATTAAATTTAATAACGATCCACACACAAATGCGTTAATTAATTACGTATTTTCTCGGTCAGAGAGCATGATTGACGAATTATTTTCGCGAGCGCGTGTCGCTCTTTCGAATCTATGACTTTCATTTATCCTCGTAGATGGCGATAAATATTTTCTAGGGGTGAATGGAGGGGAGGGGGGACGATCGTATGTTTATCTTTGCGACGAATAATACGAGTTCGCGAAGACTATCCCGATATCCGCGTTTAACAATTCATATGTATCTCTTTCTAGGATAAGTAGAATCGATGTGTGAAAGGCGAAGACTTTTGTAATATGTGTGCGCGCGCGCGCGCTATTACTGATTTACGAGGCGTAAGTTTTCTTCCTATCGATCGACTACGTTCGTGTAATTCGCTAAAGTACCGATTTAATTGAGAAGCCAGGCCGTCGAAATGCGCTCATGACGATCGGTTGACGAGCACCTTGAAATATTGATTTGCTCGTTGAAGCTGATTTAATCGGCGGTCCAGCATAGAGTCCTCACCCGTTCGCGTCCGTAAACGACCGGCCGACGTTGAAATGCACTTTCATCTCCGTCATTGGAAAGGAGCGCTCCCCTCTTCCTTTTAACACGATTTCGGCGTAATCGAACGTCACATGTGTAAACGAAACGTCATATCGTTAGGATTTAACACGCGCGCCTGAGAGGGATAAACTCGCGTTACTCGTGCTCAACGTATTACGTCAGTAAGGATATCGAGTGACACGATGCGGTATCCTGGGGGACTTACGATTGAAATATCGCGTGTATTCTCGTGGTCGCAACACGAAATCGGGACTTGGCGGCTCCTTTATGGAACGGCAACTCTTCGTGTGCTGCTGATTATTCCTCTGAAAGTTTGATCAATTTAAGTCCGTAGAAGCGGTTGAAGAGCGATGACAGCGACGGTTGCTCGCCAAAGGCGACTATAAATACGTGTGATATGAAAAGCACCTGTGTGGGAAAGGATCTCGCTAGACCGACGTCATCCCGCTTCCGGTTCTCCAGGTTCGCGCAGCAATTCAGAGACGCTACGATTTATCGCGCTCGTCGCGGTCGATTGCTTCTCTCGGCTGAGCATTTTCGAATTTTCACCACCGTCCGCGTAATTAAAGGCTCTTCTCGCCGAATGCACGAGCAATAGATATCCCGCTAATTGCGTCAGCGTGTGTGTGCGCGCGCGCGCGCGGAACGTTCGTATGCAGGCGCGGGGAATTGAGTAAATAACGAACGCGCGATGATACGCAATTTGCAGAGCCGGGCGAGTGAATGTAATATGGATTTCCAGTCTCTCGAATTATATCCGGCTCGGTTTTGCGCTCGCCTCGCGGATAATTCGCAGTCCGGGTTAACTAACTTCGATTTCCTTGGTTCACGTCGTACTCCTAGTCACGCACATCATCGTGTATTTGTGACGCTCGAACACCGAGGAATTTTTACGATCATCGATACATTTGTTTTATTTATATGATCGATAGAATTATTCAGTCAATCTTTTTCGTATTTACATCCTTAGCGCCCCCGACGTGAACGTTCGATATCGCGGATACATTACCGCGGGAAATATTTGCCTATAGAGTTTTTTCGTACGAGAAATTGAATGCGTGGTGGAGTTTTAACTACTGGGTGCATTTACTTGACACCGCAAATATTTACGCGCATAATCACGGGGCGATGCGAAATAAAATACGGTGCATATCGCACACACCAAGTAGATATTGCGTTACTCGACAAGCCATACATTATTTACGATTTGATATCGGCTGTCCCAAAATCGCGCGATTACAGCGGAGTTCCGTCACGACGAATATCGATGGCACGAATTTCCCCCGCGGCAGCTTAATATTCGAACCTGTCGGTTGTTTCAAACGCTGGTATTTGGATAATATAAAATTACGTCGAGATTTCTCGCCACTTTCGACGGGCTCTCTCACTCTCGGCGGACTAGGAGAGAAATTAAAGATGCATATTTTCCAAGGAAAAATATACACGAAGAAAATTATTCATATTTGCGCGTTATAAATAACTTTACGAGGGACTCCTGTCATCTCTCTTGCAGTGTTGCTTGCCTTCGCGCGATAGGATTCTTTCTCAATGTTAATTGACGCGACATTCGAAGGTTGTTTTATACAGTGTATAACAATCTCTCTTTTTCACGCTTGGTGTCTTCGGTCATTGATTACCGCGTTCGTTCGTAAGTGACTCGTTCCATCGATAGGTGGAAAATCTCAGCAAGAAAATGGAATTTCGAACGACGCCGAAGTAATCACGTGGAATTAGCGGGGACGCGAAGTGCCATTAAAATTCCGTTGTCTGCGCGATAGGGTAACTGTTTTCTCGCGAAAAGTTCGAACCCTCGTGACTCTCTCACGGAGAGAGAGAGAGAGCGCAGTAACTTCCTCTCGTCGCGTGGCTTTACAGCGCCGGATAACCGTGAAACTCGCGTTCTGTAGCCTGCCTCTCTCTCAGTATAGAAAGAGAAGGAGAGACAGACTTTAGAACGATAAAATCGCCATTTCGGGAATCCTTTCGGCGAAGTTTCGCCGTGAGAGTTAATCGGTCGTCTATAGGAGCTGCTACGTCCTGCACCGACGTAGATTAGGGAATCCCTCTCGCAGGCCCAAGAGGATTCTCCTTCGTAGACTTTTGCGAGCTTTTCCCTGCCACTTATCTTCCCTTCCCGTCCGTTTCTTCGGCGCACAGATGCGCTATTAAATTTTAGCGGAGCCTAACTCTTAACAACCGTACTTACGCGAAGGGTTGCTCGTACTAATTAACGAGCGCAACGTGGTAGCGACAGAAATGGACTATTTATACCGCCGCGCGGTGTGTGCTCTATTAATATACTGAAGATCGGCGGCTCGAACAATTAAAGCAGCCGAGCAAAGTTGAGAGATTCAAATACGAAGGGATGCGCGTATGTCGTTTACGATCCTCCTATTTCCCGTTTTGGTAGTATGTTCGCCGTCGCAGCGAGAAATCGGGGAAATATCACGAAAACATTCCGCGCGAGTGCTGTTATGTGAATGTAATCCCGTTAACGCACGCAACACTACAAGTATCGCGGTACGTATTAGCTGCAGTTAATTCAAGACACTCGGACGATGCTGAAATTACTTTGGCAGCCAACGAATCACGCGAACTCCTCTCAGACTCATAAATCGTCTCCACGAGGATTCGTGAGACGGAAATTGTGCTGTCTGCGATTATGTCTCGCTTCGTGATCCTGGATATATAACATCAACAGCGTTTTACATTTTTATTAGTACAAATCTCACGGGCAATTCTGCGCACGTGTATTCAAACATTTATCTTTCCGCTCTGAAACGTCCAATTACGCAAATCTTCTGTAATTGGACTGTTATCACGAGATAATTTCGCGACAGGTTCTCTCTCTCTCTCTCTCTCTCTCTCTCGATCGATTTCTCTTGATTCGTGCAAAAGATATCGTTGTGATCCTGTTTGCTGTTGCAGGGGCTTCGGGAAACAGGGATATCAGTGCCAAGGTAAGATGGTCAGGCCGACCTCATCGGCTACTACTCGGCCAGGTGTGACCTCGCGGAGGAACTTGGAGCACGTTCTGCTTGTGTTTCAGTCTGTAGTTTCGTCGTTCACAAGCGATGTCACGAATACGTGACCTTCACGTGTCCGGGAGCCGACAAGGGAGCCGACTCGGACGTAAGTACCGACATCATACTTAATACCGAATACGCCTCTTTCCACATTTTATCCTCCTTACCGCGCAGAGACTATCTCGTCTTCGTCCCTTTTTTCGTTCTCAGCCAAGGATCCTCTTGGAAAGTCTCCGACGAAAGTAGAAATATGCGAGCATCGACGAGAGATATCCTGCGAATCGATCACGCGAAACATTCTCCGTTGAAGTCGAATCATACTTGGCAAACAAACGAAACATGGCAGTAGTGATAACAGCGATAAGTAACGTATCAAACATGCTATAAAGAAGCTCTCACACCTATCTTTTGTTTAACTTATTCCATCATGAGTTCTATGATAGAATTTTCAATGAACACATTCAACGTAGATCCAATGTCTGAGATAAAGTAGTTTCTATTCCTCGTTTTGGAATACCACCGTGGAGAAAAATTTACGACCGTGGTATCCTCGAGTCTTCGTGTTTTTAATATTCAAATGTAATTCCAGAGTCCGTCACCTTTTACAAATCTTGTTTTAATTAAGATGCGCGTGCGTGTGTGTACTAACGTGACACGCCGAGGACGGGTCGAAACGTCGCAAGTATAACAAAAGTCTCTTTATAAACAGAAATAGGTCACTGAGAGTTGCTCGAGGGCTGGTCAAGCTGACCACGAGAGTCAAATAACTGTTTGACACGTTAGCTGTTAAAGCTGCCTCGAGTGGACACATAACGACTCATCATCGCGGTCTTTTGATTCCCGAATAGTCGGGGGATGTTTTGTGAAAAAGAAAAAAAACGAGAGGGAGGGGAGCGTCCGCCAATACATCAAATATTAATATCTCATCTTAATAAAACGACGCCTTACCAAAAGTCCCCCGAGTGTGATAGGTGATGATGTAAGGTGTCCTTACGTCACGACGTTGTATCGTAAATTCGTTCCTCGAGGACGACGCGAGGCGATCAAACGATGGGCAACGACACCTTAATGACTACGGCTTTGTGTGGAAGTCTATTATAATTTAGAGACGCGTTTGTCGCGCGCAATTTTCGTAAAGATTGCACAGAAAGAAAGAAAGAGAGAGAGAAAGAACTCAAACCGTATTATATCTTCGTCAGTGAGACGAAGTCGCTCGTGATCGATAAAGTCACCAATTCACCGTTGTCTCGCGACGAGGTGGATTTCATCTAAAATTTCACACGCGATGAAATTATGACAGAATATGGTAAAAGGGTACGGTAATATAACTCCTCGTGAAAAAGGGAAAAAGAAAATAAAACCGACGAGAGAGAGGTATCATTAAGAGGTGCTACGTTTATACGGGAAGTTTCATAATAGGAGATTTTTTTTGCGCGTGTTACCTGGCGTTCGTTTGTTCCTCTCGTGTCTCGGTAATCACAGTCGGGATCTCAGCTACTCAAGGAAGAAGGAAGTTGATCAAAGGCGAGGGAAAACGGATGAAAGTCGCGTTCGATTTCATCAATATGATTTGCAACCCTGAGCTACATTCGCCAACACGCGCTAACGAAACTGCAAGATAGAGAAGTAACGTGCGCACACGCATCGTACGTACGTCGGGCAGGAATTTTCATTACGTTAGTTTGAACCAAAAGCGAGAGAGTGAGTTAAGTTCCACGTAGTGACGACATGGGAGAATGAAGTACGCGACGAGCGCGCGCGCCGCGCTCTACCGAGTATGCGCTAATTGGCCTGCACGCCTGCTAAACGCGTGTGAAACTCGTCGTCCACTGTCCCGTCGCAAGGTGCTAAAGGGTTGGGGTAGGGCGGCACGTATAATCAATATCGAGGTCATTTTCGAAGGCTGCGATAAATCGCACACCGTCACCTTGTAAATGGATAATAATAACGCACGCGTATCATAGCGCGCACGCGGTAATTCGTTCGGTCAATCTGCCCGTAAGAAGACTGCCTCCACTTAGCCGGGACGCATTGACAGAAGGAGATTAATCAGGCTATAAAATCGCGTGGCGTAGGGACGCTGCTCTTTCTCTCTCTTTCTCTCGGAGATTATGGCGTATATAATGATAATTTACGGGAAATGTGCCCCGTCGCGGGAATCGTGGCGTGCGCCTTTTAAACGTTATTAAAGCTATTAAACGGCGGGATATTAATTGGACTATAAAATCATGAGGGGAAAGATGGAGGTATTGACTTTCCAAAACGGTGATTCGCTCTATATTTCACGAGGAAGTATTATGCGAAATTGTCTCGTGTTACGAAGCGCAATACGTTCTATTAGTCTCTACCGCAGACGTTAATGATAGTTTCAGCGAGTTGGAGCACACGTGTCTTCAATTAAGAAACATTTTTTCAAACGCTCAAACACTCCCGTCGAACACTGAAGTTGCCAACGTCTTTGCTCGTCTACACGAGAAGGTGATGTCTATATTAAGACAATTTTTGCCATATTATGTCTCGGAATAAGAATTCCATCATTGAAAAGTTAAGCAAGAACGTGAGCTTATCACGACTTTTCCTTTTATCCCATGAAGTAGAGATAAGAAGATGACGAGATAAGGAGGATCCTTGGCTGAGTTAAAGGGAGGGAAGGGTGACAAAACGCCCCCCGGGTCTTCTTACGTTCTTCCGTATTTGTCTCGCACCACGTTCACCGATTGGCCTAAGCCGTCGTTTCCTCTTGCGCTTTCGTTCACCATCACGCTTGTAACCGCGTCTGTGCGCGACCATCAGGTGACTCATCGAAGAAGAAAAAACAACAAGATTCCGACGTGCTCGTTAGGACAGGGCGAAACGTTTCCGGCTCGACGCAATTTCCCCTCGTATAAACGGCGATTTTTCTCTCCGTCGCGACTCGGCAATAACTGCGAATAAAACGCAACCGGCGATGATATATCTAGTCCCGGTTCGGACTGACTGACGCGGGATGTGTTCCCAAATTGGAAATCCGACGCGGCACTTTTGGTTACCTCAACGTTGTTGAGCACCAGAAGTGAAGAGCCGTTGCTTTCCCAGAAAGGACGCATTGATGTGTCGGAGGGAGACGATTCCCTCGTCAACTATTCCCGTCCTCGAGTTAAGACCCCGTCAAGATCGGCAAGTTGACGCGCGAGGACGCGCTGCCAGATGGGAAAAGACGCCGTCGTGTTCGAGCCGACGGAACGTTTCGTCGTGCGCGTCGGGGAGAAGATTTCACTTATCTCTGGGAATTTCCGACGAACTAATCGAGAGTCCGCGCACTGTCTCCCTTTGATCCTGGTTGCTGACTCCCCGTCCCGCCTCATCTCTCTCCCCCATTGTGCTTCTGCGCTTCAAAGGTAATCCTTTCCGCGCCTATTGATCCGCGCGAATATCGGCGATCGTGGATTTCCCTGTAACTCGCATAATACCTTTTCATTGTTGTCAAAGGAGAGAAAGCGCGCTCGAGCGTACCGGTATACATATATATTTTTTTTTTCTTTATCCTTCCGGTGCGCGGGATTAGTCGCGCGCTGTTAACGAACGCCGTTCCGTCAAATGAAATCTCCCAAATGATTCCCACTCGCGCTCTGCTTCGTCGAACAGTGCAATCGGCGCCGCATTACCGAGACGGGGATCTGACATTTTCGCGAGTTGTCTCGGTAAATGCAATTAATTTCAAGTCGTTTTCCAACAAGGCTATTTATTACTCTTAAAAAAGAAAGCACAGGAATACCACGCTATTAATTCTTGACTGAACGAAAAACTTTCTCTCTCTCTCTTGTTCTGTGGGGTAATTAGGGTTTAAATGCTTCAATCGCAACTGTTTGTCGACGACCGCAGGCGTCTCAAGCCAGGAACATAATTGCTTATAACACGGTGGTTTCGAATAATGAGCTAGCTAGGATCAGGCCGGTCAAACTACACCGAGCGAAGGGGCGTACGTTCCGTGGCAACCGGAAACATCGGAAGGCTTAATGCACCCGTCGCTGTGCTTCGCACCGGACTCGCCATCTCCGCGAAACTTCCTGCGAGCTTGTTTCGGTTTCCGCGTTCTCGTATTCCCCAGGAAGCGGCAGCAGCTGCCGGTGGTTTCGGCAAGTTGCTGGAACACGCTGGCTGTTTGATCCTATTTGGATTTAAGACTCGAATCGCGACTCTATGCCACCCCCGCGCGGTGTTGCAACTTGCTCCTCATCCGCAAGTTTGAAGAACACATCGGTGTTTAAACCGCCATCCATTCTCGAGCACGATGTTTGACCCCGTTTTCTTCGCGGCGACGATAACTAACGGGAAGTCGAAAGAAGAACACGGCGCGATGATTAAGCTTTTAGAGAAAGAGAGAAAGGAAGGGCAGGGAAGTCCGTTATCGTTCCCGAAGCGGAGAACGCTTCGCATTCCGAGGCAGAGAGAGCTGGAAAACTTTTCCTCTTGAAACACGCGGCGTTCGGAAAATACACCCCCGGAGATATCAACCCCTTCGCCACGGAGAACGACGTTCCGCGCCGTTGAAGGGGTTGACGATAGCGGTTAACGTTTATTTCAGAGCGGATTGAGGTAAACTCGCGCGACATCCCGATCTCGAGGAAAATTTCTCATCCTAATCGGATTAAACGTCTCGTAGCGACCGGACTCTTGAAATTCGCGGCGAGAGATGCTTAACTTTTATCCTTCTCTCTTGGAATATTTTATTAAATTAGATTGTTCCCCGGAGGCTTTTGACGTCTCGCAATATCTACGCTGTATCGTCTTGAAAGCATGAAAAATATAACACAGACACGTAAAATATGTCTAGACACACGAGCCGGTTTCGGGGAAAACTTTTGTTCGTCACTACTTCGGGTCAATTGAAACGCGTAATATTACGCGTGACTGGAACCAACTGGGAAATCCAGCGATCCACGTGCCGATCTCAAATCCATGTCCCCCATCGATCCTAACATTCCACCGCCTTTTCTCGCGGTTGCAATTCCCTCGCCCTCTCCGTTACATCATCATCAAGCCCGAAAAGTGTGTGTGTGCACGGTATAATGGTGTAATAACGCAGGACACGCGGACGAAGCACCATTTCAAGCAACACACCTACAACAGCCCCACCTTCTGTGACCACTGCGGTAGTCTTCTCTATGGTGTCATCCACCAGGGCATGAAGTGCCAAGGTATCATATGACGAGCGAAAGTTGCGCGACACACACAATCCGCGGAGACAACACGCACAATCCATCAATGCATACACACACACACCTATACTCAGATAAACGATACACACCGTATATATACATACCGTGTACATATATACATACAAACACACTTATATATATATATAACACTAGTATTCTCTTTTACTTTGTCTTTCTGTTTTTCTTGGCCCAGCGTGGTGTTGCTTTATCTTCGTATTGTACTCCTGTATAGTCTCTTTCTCTTTATCTCACCTCCTCTCTGTAAATATGATACTCGCTGTAAATAATGTACTCTAACGCTAGCAGTTCTACTGCCGTATTCGCCGCTGTCGCGCGATGATGCTAGAAATCCGATTAATCGCGTTAACAATGATCGCAGACGCGGCGGATGGATCGTCTTCCTCTTATCCGCGCGCGTTTACCGACGTACTGCTAATGCGATTAGCGGCGCTTTTAATTACATACGGTATATGCCCCCCACCCCCTCTCGACGTGTGGATTTTGCACTGACATTATACGTCAGGTGGCTTTTGTGCATTAACAGCGTGTCTCTCTCCTTCTCTTTCGCTGTCTCAGCAGGGATATGATTTCACGATGCTGCGTATGTGTGTCCGTGTGTGTGTGTGTGTGTGTAATCATATTGGATTATTACGTATTAATTCGCATACAATTATGAACCGTACAAGGGAGTATACAGCGATCTACCTAGCGAAAGATAAGGAGGGAACTCGAGCGAGCTACGGATCGAACGCAAAATCCGTCGAAGGGATACGGTTAACCGAATGAACTCGAAGAGCGAAGGATGATATCCCAGAGGAAATTTTTGGCCGAATCTCACGTACAGTTCCACCTCGCTTCCGTTCTCCCCTTGTCCTTCGCGGACATGGGGATGCACCTTGGTAATCTTCTGCCTATTCCCTTTTTTTTAATTTTCCTCGTGTTCGCGCGCACATACGCGAAAGGGAGCTGTCTTCTCACTCGTACATTTTAATTTAATACCCTCCGTTTTGTATCCGTATATATTCGCGTCTGTGCTCGGCGGAAAGTTAGCGCTTCAAAAGAATGCTCTTCCCCGATAATTGGATAATTGGATAATTGGAAAATAAAAAAATCAAAAAGAAAGAACCGAGCGCTTTGACAATTAGCCCGCGAGCCGATCTATATCGAGGGAACGTATTTAGTCGATGACGTCCCATCGAGCGCGAGAATTACATATTTTTTTCTCTACCTGCTCGAATCCCCCAACGGAGGCTGTATAAATAATCTTTCTATAGTTATATCGCACGGAAAAGAAGATTATATCCTCTGAAATGATAGATCTTCGTTGCTGGCGTGTTCAGCCGAGTTCGCGTCTGTAAATAATATTCTGTATACCGTGTTTGTGTGATTAAATTTGCTCACGATCCGTGTGCACGTTGTAAGTACATGTTCTCGTCGGTACAAAATTCTACGCGTACGTTTATGACTAAAAGAAAGAAGACAATCGTGAAAAATATCATATATTTGCAAAAATATTACATCCGAGATATTTTTCGCCTCGATGTAATAAAATTGCGACGATATTTTTATTTTTTCGAATTTTTTTTCCTTAGGTGCGCGCGTAGATTTTTGTGGTTGATGGCCTTCTCGTCACTCTGTGTTCTCTCTCTCTCTCTCTCTCTCTCTCTCCCCCTCTTTCTTTCTTTCTTTCTCTGTCAACGTCTTTTTCACTGTTATGAGTTTCTATCGTTGCACTTTGATCGCACAATCGTGCACCTTTTCGCTCTATTTTCTCGATGTGATTCTTCGATGTATATTCTACGAGTCGTTGACATGATTCTCCGTTTGTCGTCTTGTTTCCTTTCTTTTGTATACATGTGTGTGCGCGCGCGTTCTATTCTAAAATTTGCCATTCCTCGTGTATCTCTTACGATGTTTCACTTTTCGTCCACACACCATTCCAGAGGTTCTTCATTTCCTCGGCAATTTGCGGCGTGTCGTCTTAACGTGTCCGCCTCGCGCCCGGTAAATTATCGACGCTTTTATATCGTCCGCGATTCATCGGCGTTTTAATTTCGGATTCGGTCGTTGCCCTCGACCACGATATTTTTGATCGATCAATCCGTGTGAGCGCTCGCGACCAAGTATCCAGGCATTTCGGAATTTCTTCTATGAACGTGTTTCGCCTTTATATCATTCCTCTCCGTCGTGCGGGCAAAGTCGTCGCGTTTCGCTAATCTCGCCAGCGCGATCAGCGGCACGCGAGCCGTAATTTTCGCGCGGCGTCGATGCGACGATAAAAGCGACACGGTTATAACGCGGCGCTCAAGAGGCGCGCTTAAAAGGAGGCGCATTTCGCCACCCTCGCGATGCCACGATTGTCAGATTAAGACTGATTAGCATAAGCGTGACGATACGTACGCGCGCGCAAGGTCGTTCAACTGTCGCTCCGACTATTTGTCTCGCGAAGAAAGAGAGGAAACGACAGGAATGACGTGTTGGCGAGGTTCCAGGATATACGGTTGCATCGTGCCGTTTAATCTCTTCGTTTCTCTCGGTCGGCTAGATTCCCTGGTTCTTACCGCGTTCCGTTTCCGCCTTTATTGTCGTCGGCGAAAGGTGAGAACAATGGCTTCCCTGTAAGTGTCTTAAGCGCGCCCATATTTTCGCTCTTTTCCGCCGTCGGGAATACAGTCGAATATTTCTGTCTACGATCAACCTCGTCGATCGTACGTTCGTCGCTTCAAATCCTTCCCCGTGGTTGGTAAATTGACCGTCGTCTCTGTAGTAGAAGATTGATATTCGATACGTACATCGCACGACGTGTATCGCTCGCGTGGTCGATCAGAAATCCCGCGGAAGAGGCTGAGAGAGTCGGTCGCGAGCTTTTCTCATTGAAGTCGGACAAGTACGCGTGTCTGATATTATGTAACTATACTGCGCGTAGTACGCGTGTCTGATATTATGTAACTATACTGCTTCAGCCGTTAATACGGTTTCAAAGTCTGTAATCTTAAAGCGTCAGCTAGATATGTTACGTACTCTCCGTTTACGCGAATTTCCACATTACGGAGACTCTAGCGTGATACAAGCTACGTAAATTCCTTCTGGAGCTTTCCTTGCGTCGACGCAAGTTCATTTTCAAGCCGGACTGTGAGCAACGTACGGGACGGGTAGGAGGTAGATGAAGCTCTAACGGAGACACCCAGGTGCATCTAGGCGTCCGTTCGCGTCAGATGCACTTGTAGGGCTGTGACAAAGGTCTAGCCTTTTACGGGAAATACTGCTAAAGTATTTTCTGGAAAGACGAGCTAGCGTCTGGGACACGAAGGAAGACGAAATGGGAGGAAAGGACGAGACACTGGCGTGGAAATTAATTAAACGGTCAAGTCCGGAAGAAAAGTCTGGGAAACGGAAGCGGGAAACTCGACGTTGCGGCTCTTTGTGCAACAAGGGAAGAGAGAGCTCCCTGCCTCACCATCGAGAAGCCACCGAGGTGGTGGTGAATGAAATTTTGCGGGTGTCGATTCGAGGGATTTAGTTTGGCGTGAGTGAACTCGCGAGAAATCTCTGGGCTTGTGAAAAGAGACGCTTCTCCTCGCATCGCCGTTTTCCTTCCTCCCTCGTGAGACCCTTGCGCGATGAATCGCCCGATGTAATCCGAGAATCTCCTGGCGAAGAATGACATTTAATTAATAATAATCAGTTCATTTATTCCAAGTCCTGATTGCACGACAGATGGTAGATATTTCTTGCTCGAGAATCATGAGATATTGCGCGAATTATCGTTCTCTCGAGGATCTGAGACTGGCTTTGAGAGTCGGAAGTAAGTTTCCTACGTCGTTTGTGTGTGTGTGTGTGTGTGTGTATGTATGTGCGTCATATAATTTAATGTTTACGCGCCATTTGATCACGCGCACGGTCGAAACTCGGTAGATCTTCTAGTTGGTAGATATATTCGCAGTTATAACGCTGCATTTTGCCGCTGACGTCCTCTCGAGCGCTTTGAGTGAAAGCCTTTCCTGCATCGAGGTCTAAGAATAACGCCGCTATTGACCATATAGGCTCGATAATAACTGATGATAGTCTGCCCACATCGAAGTCTCGCGAAATAGATTTTTCTAGTCTTTTATACGGGGGAAAATATTCATAGTAACGTGACAAATTTCCAATCGACCGTTCGCGGTGCGTACTTCAAGTCGCGCGCGACCTTTCAGGAACTTTGCAAGAGATGGTCTCGCTGTCAGGGAGATTTTTGTGTGCGTCGAATCGTTCTCGCTAGGATCCTCCGATATTTTCTCGATATGGTCGAAAAAGTCGATTTCAATTATTCACACTCGTAATACATTCGATTTAGCGGAAATATTCGTTCAGATATTGGGTTATATTCGTATCGATCGTCGATGAGATCTCTCAAGGTTGCAATGATGAAGGCAATTTTGCGTCACAATTATTACATTGCGATAATAATTTCTTTAGAATATACATTTTGACTAAATAATTGGAGGGTTGGCTCTCATCAACTGCAAGCAACACGACGAAACACGACGACGGCTCGTCGCGTCTCATTATCGACTCTGCATTGTGCCAAGTTCCTTTCGCGAACGTGTGCGACGAAGCGAAAGCTCTCTCTCTCTCTCTATCTATCTCTCCCTTCCCCCCTCTCTCTCTCTCTCTCCCTCTTTCTCCCTCTTTTTCTCTCTCAATTTATCGATGAATCGCTCAAGATGAATTTATGATCGTCGTATCAATTATTTAACCTCCGTGCTTTTCTGTTACTGTCGGACATTACCGAAACTGAGAACTTTACGCGAGGAGAGAGATTTTTTAGGTCGTAATATGGCCATAGTACACGTGTGTGTCGATAGCGAGAGGACGAAGGAAGACTCTGCGTTGCACCTGTGCGGCACACACTCTCTCATCAACGATGTTCACCGTGATCGTGTTATTTACTCCACCTTCTCTTCTTCATCCTCAATATTCATCACGTGATCCACGTG